CTTTTAATACAACAGTCATTTCTGCAGTTTTTGGGGAGGTCACCTCCTAATAAATGTCCTTACAGAAAATCTAACAAAGTAATATTCGTAAAGGAGACTTTAACTTTTACCAAAGCCATTTTTTGGTAAGATACTTGTACTTTTACTCAAGTATCACTTTGTGGTACTTTATACAACACTGGTTTTTCTCAACAGCTCAACTGTCCAAGTGTCTCAATGATCAAATATTTCTTTTCTTATTTGGTCATTWGATGTTTAACACTGGCAAAATCCTTCAAAAAACAAAGTAAAGAGACTACGGAAAGCTGAAATGGTTTTAGAATTACATTACAGCAAATTAACAACTTAACCAGGTTAGAGGCAAGGGGTCACCAGCAGCATGATGTTCTAAAAATAGCTTAAAGACTGTAGAGGTGGTCCTCACTTATAATCGAGACGTTTCTTAATGTCCATAAAAAAGGACAAACACAGAACTAATGTTTAGGTTTATAAGCCTCTAAACACATAATCCACCAGTGTTTTCAACCTAAGCTCGTTTTCCTCCGACTAACATGAGAAAACTGGGAATCATCACATGATCTGGGCTGAGAGGAGAAAAGGGACCATCCTGTTTGTTATCAGTGCACAGAGGAGGGTTGTGCATTAGTGCACATGACCCAAGTAAGCTGTGCATGTGAGAAGAAACAATTCATTTAATGTCAATGCTTGGACCGACATCTGCTGCCATCTTTTTTCATATACATTTGGCAGCAGATGTTATACAGTATAAATGTTTAGGCCTCACTGAAAAACTAGACTAATAGAAACATTTGGTGTCAAATACTATAAAAACTGAAATGATGCCTCAAACTGTTGAAGCTTTTTATCAACGATGAGCTGAAATCCATTTCACTGAAGCACCAAAATTACTTAGGTTTATGTATAAGATAATAACCTGAACTTATATTCCACATAAAATGTTGGTAGGCGAATGTTTTGATTTAATTTTTGAATTTTAAATTCAAAGGAATTTKCAAAATCATCTATTTTTACACTCTGCAGTGGTTTTTCCACACAAAAAAAGCAGTGTTGGGCTTCTTCTTCTTTCTTGTTGATTYTAAGATCTGGTGGATTTAGTAAATGAAGCATTTTTTAATCTAATAACATCTAAACCTGTCTTGCATTTTAAATCAAATGGCTAATGAGCAGAATCAGATTTAATGTATTTTTGTTTTTATTATTAAAACCTTTAAGTGCGACTCGTCTTAATTTTTATTTTCTTTCCTTCCTGCCGGGGGCGCTGCAGACTATTTTCTGACCYGCGCTGACTCAGCAGATAGTAACTACAGTAAGAAGCTGTCATCACTCACAGATAGGTATGAACACATGGTTTGTAAAGAGAATTCTGGTCTATTTTTAAACCTTTTAAAACTTCACGGTGCAAAGAGCTTCTACAACTGATCCACAACATCCAGTCAGTCAATAAAACTGAGGGTTTTATTTTTATATAAAAGTCCTGATAACATCATCTAAAACCTGATTTGATGAAGCCAAACTTTATATTTAATTTAGAGGACTTTATTTTGCTTCATTCAACGGAAAAGTGCTGCTGTGAACTACTGTCTGCATGTTTTGGAGTTTTAAAGCTGCATCACCAGGTTATCTGTGTGTTGAATATGAAACCCACCAGCTGGCATGTCCGTGTGTGTGTGTGTGTGTGTGTGTGTGTGAGAGAGAGAGAGAGAGAGAGAGAGAGAGAGAGAGAGCGTTCGTGTTAAACGTAGCGTTCAAGTCTCGTTCATTAATTCATCCTGTTGCTATGGCTCTGCTTTCCAACAGGCCTCCAGCGTTCGTGGCATCCCACTCCTCTCCCCCACAGTCGTCTCTGTCCTGCACACACACATACACACACACACACACACACACACACACACACACACACACACACACACACAC